TAAGGAAACAAAGAAAGAAGAATATGCACACAGTGAAGTGGTGGAATATTACTGCAATCCCAGATTTCTAATGAAGGGGCCTAATAAAATTCAATGTGTTGATGGAGAGTGGACAGCTTTGCCAATGTGTATTGGTAATGTATAAAATATTAATATATAAACTTGTCAAAACTTTGGTATTTTGTATGTAAAACACATAAATTATGTTTTCACAAAAAAAAACTTTTTTGTAAAATTTAAATAGAGGAGGAGAGTACCTGTGGAGATATACCTGAACTTGAACATGGCTATGCCCAGCCTTCTTCTCCTCCCTATTACTATGGAGATTCAGTGGAGTTGAATTGCTCAGAAACATTTACAATGATCGGGCACAGATCAATTACATGTATTAATGGAGTATGGACCCAACTTCCTCAGTGTGTGGGTAAGAATACACTTCTTAAATCAACATTTAATAAAGTTTAATATTTTTATTGTAAAATCAAAATTTACAACTCTATTTTTGAAATTTACAGATATACCTCAACATGTCCAGGCTTCAATATAATGAAACCAATGTTTTGTATATTGTTTATAATTCACTATGTGTCTAGAGAGAAAAAGTAAAGCTAGAAATATAATTTTATGAATCTTTCTGCCTCTGATATCAATATTGTGTATCTTTAAAAGTGTGAAGTAATGTTTTACTTATAAAATTGTCATGTGAGGCCTGGGTGGTAACTCACGCTTATAATCCCAACAATTTGGGAGGCCAAGGCAGGAGAAGTGCAAGAGGTCAGGAGCTTGAGACTAGTGTGGGCAGTATAGCAAGACCCCATCTCTATAAAAATTATTTTTCAATTAGTTAGGTGTGGTGGTGCATGCCTGTAATCCGCCTACTATAGAGGTTGAGAAGCAAGGATTGCTTAAAGCCAGGAGCTTGAGATTGCAGTGAGTTTTATTGTGCATTCCAAACTGGGCAACAGTGTAAAACTCTTTCTTTAAAAAATAAAAAAATTAAAAATTGTCATATAATTATACATGAGTACTACTCACCAAGAAAATACAACTATTTTATATAAATACTGTTGTTATTATATGGTACTCCTTTCAGGTACTGAAAAGCAAAGAAACAAAGTTGACAAAATATCTGCTTACTAGTCTCCCACAGGAATATTTTCTCTGTTTAAGCTTGCAGAAGTGATGAGTTTTCAGTTTGTTCCATATCAGCCAAAATGAATTAATGTGCTGCAGGGTTTGTGTGCCGCAGGCCTCCTATGTCAGTAGTATAACTGAGTGACAAGAAGTAGTCATGTCACTTACACTGTGACTAGGGATTTACAAGTCTTGAAATCATCTTGTCTCTTTGATGAGTAACTGGGAAGATCTTGGGGACTCTCATTTACATTTCTCTAAAACGGAGTTATTTCCTAATGTTTTCCTGGGTCCTGCATTCTAAGAGTCCTAAATGTTCAATCCTACTTATTCATCCAATGAAATAGCCAGTGATATTTTGCATTTCCCAATGTACAAAATATCTTATGATAGATATTCTCTCTGACATCTCAGCGACAGAATACAGGGCTTATGTTTTTACATATAGCATTTTGGTGCAATGTGATCAGGAGTAACTTGATTGGTGAAATTTATAATGATATGTCATAATTTTACTATGCAAATACTATAAACTTTATAACTATTTTTATGTAATAATTGGTTTGGTTCTTAGAATTTTAATAGAAACATTTTCATTGTATAGCAACAGATCAACTGAAGAAGTGCGAAACATCACCGTTAATTATAATTGAGGGAAATTTAATCAAAAAGAAAGAATTTGATCATAATTCTAACATAAGGTACAGATGTAGAAGAAAAGAAGAACAAAAACACTCAGTCTGCATAAATGGAAGGTGGGATCCGGAAATGACCTGCTCAAGTAAGCTCTTATTTTGTTTTAAAAAATGTATTCCATTTTTCATTTGGAAAAGTGATTTGTATATTTGTATCTTTTAAAAGCTTTAGGTATTTATTATTACAAATGGTCCTGAACCAGGAAGGTAATTTAGAAACTAATGAAAACAGTTTCTTTCTTTTTTTTCTTTTTAAGAAACTTTTATTTTAGGTTGAAGGTTACAGGGGCAGGTTTGTTATACAGGTAAACTGCATGTCACGGGGGTTTAGTGTACAGATTATTTCATCACCCAAATAATAAACATGATACCCAATAGGTATGAATTGTTTATTGAATTCTCACTGTGTGCTAGGACCAGTGCTGTGCTGAAGATGGCTTGGACAGGCTCATGAGAGCTTAATTGTTTAATTTGCAGAAATTTTGCATGATGTTAAACTTAGCCATTATTAAAATTCAATTATATTATGTTATACTTAAAAACAAAGGCAATAAATTAATACAAGCTGTGCCATGTGAATTAGTTACCTTTAGTATAAAAAACACAGGCATAAATTCAATGGTTTTTTAAAATTACGTGTCATCATTACTGTTGGGGGACCAGTGCTTCTAATTCCTTTTCTTGTCAACAAATGTTCCTGTGCCTATACCTCTGTCTATGACAGTAACTACTATGTATCTGTATATATGTGTGTATGTATTACATAGCTACATCTATTTCTATATATTCATTTATTTAACCTGTCTGTCTACCTATTCATCTACGTATCCATCTGTTCTTCCATTTCCCCAATCATCCATTTATCTATTAATATATTCTTTATCTTGAAAAGTTAGTCATATTGACACATAGAGTTTCACTTAAATAGTGTAGGGTTTATTCCAGTCTTCCCATGTTTTATATCTGTATTTTGCTCTCCAGTTGTGGGGTTCCTTGCCTCACTGGCCTCAATATTTTTACCAATGTCTGCCAGTCTAGAATATACAGAATGCATTAACAAGTAATACAAAAACTAATGTACTATCAACAGTTCAATATGTTTAGAGCCCTTAAAAGCAAATAACATACATGCAGTGAAGTGTACATGGTCTACAGTTTTTTCTTGAGTTTTATATAGTGTTAACACTTCCGTTTAGGTTTATTGAAATGATCATATGGTTATTGCTCTTTCAGTTAATGTGATGCATCACCTTTACTGATTTGCCGATGTTGAACCACCATTGCATTCTTTTTATTAAACCCACTTGATCACAGTGAATAATCTTTTTAATGAGCTGTAGTATTTGTTTTGCTAGTATAATGTTGAGGCTTTTTTGTGCCTATGTTCATCAGTGGAGTTTGCCTGTAGTTTTCCTTTTGTGTTGTGTCCTTGTCTGGTTTGTTTCAGAGTAATGCTAGGCCACTAGAATGAGTTAGAAAAATGATCTCCTCTTCAAAATTTTGGAGTCATTTTAGAAGAATTGGTATTAGTTCATTTAAAATGTTTGGCAGAACTCAGCAATGAAGCCAT